ACTAATAACACCATAATGTATTTAGTACTTTATTCATATATGAATAACAAGTAACTTTCCTATTTTTGATTATTAAATCTTAATTTGACATGAATAAAAAAAGAGATTTATCATGCACCTGTAAACACGATATGGTCTAAAACAAAAAAAAAGTACCAACAAAGTAAATGAAATCAGGACACTCTGCATTAAAAAAAGTTGAGAAATAAGTGGTAACATGTAGTAGTAAGTAATATATAAAGTATGCAAATGAGTCATGTGATTAAGTTATGGAAGTACTGGAGATAACATTATTTATGTGCAAACACAACAACTCAATGTAACAAAATTGTTTCGCTTACATTTTTTTAATAGTTCATCTGTAATTCTGTGGTGCTAGTTATTAACGACTATTTATTTGCATGCATCATCAATATTTAGGTAAATATTTAGGTATTGTCAATTTTAGAACTTCTATCATTAATTATGAAACACGGGTTTAGTACAGATAAGTTTGCTATTTTTTTAAAGACATTTTGCTTTTGCAAGGATGGGAAAATTCTAATAAATTTCTGTAACATTCTGTAATATTCTAGAGCTTTCTGGAACATTCCAGATTCAGAACATTGTGGGACTAGTCATAAAAAGACAAAAATCATCCAATGTACCCTTCTGAAGTTTTGGAAGACTCACTTTTGGTAACTGTTTAGGTTAAATTGTTGTTAGCACAGCGTTATGCATGTATCATGTAAGTTTTATGCATGAGTAATAACAGATTAGCTTCTATAAGTTGTCAACATATTTCTTTAGGCACGGTTAATGATACACAAAAAGTAAAGTGATATTTGTTTTCAGAATGTCAAACTTCATATAGAAACATTAAAAATAAAAGCGAAACTTTTATAAAAATGTGCTCGGTTTCAAATTAGTTAATAATTTCCTTGAATATGGATGACAGAAATATAATATTTATTGACGCATACTCCAAAGTATTTACATAATTGTTATAAATAATATAGATATTATAGATAATTGTTTTAAACAAACTATATACAACTATCTGCAATAAAGCATCTACCAAGACAATAAATGCCTTAAAAACAACTTACTCATAGCACTTTTGTAGTGCAATCGAAAAGTACTAATGTGTAACATTGAAGAATGCAACACAAATAAATTAATTTCACCTTAGGTGCATTTGTTTGTACTGACGTGCTTATTCTGTTTTAAAATCACATATCAACTCACCAAGCTTGACTGAGCCTCCAAAAAGAGATCCTTTATCAAAAGCATCCTTCCATGTAAATGTCAGACATAACTGGAAAAAAAACAGTTATGTATTATTTACAGACTTATGAATATGCTCAAATTACTCTATATTATTATAATCAATTATTGTCATAAAACAAATGGATGGGTTCATATTTATTTAGGTTACCTCTGTAAAAGGCAATTTGGGTTCAATTGCACAGAGCTGATCATAATATCTAAAGGGGAGAGAGAAAAACAATGAGAAAAGCTGTTAAAATGGAAAGTGTGAGGAAAAACGCTTTAGTTTCTTTAGATGGAACGTAAACCATGGTGACAAAAAATGTAGCCATGCCAGCATTCTCATGTGACTGTCAGTCTGACACAAGAAGCAAATGACGTTAATGAATTTACTCAGCCTCATTGTTACAGAGCTAACTAGTGACAAAAATATTTCCTTCCTGGAAGGAAAGAAGAGCATTTCCCCACACCTCTACTCCATATGTTTTCTATCTGCTATTTCTTGCCTCTCGGCACTATAAAAAGAACATGAGTGTAGACTCGAGAGGGAATACCGCTGATGGTTGTGCCCAAGGGGCTCTTCGTCATACAAACCAAACACCAGTCTAACTAGGAGCTACAAAGCAGGCCATTCATCTTGACCATTGAGCATGGCTACAAAGCAGCAAACAAAAAGCTTATTCAACACACTTCTCATTCACTCTCCAGATGGCGCAAGTCCCAGTCGCTACATTAACTCAACTACATTAAACCACAAATGAAATGCAGAATCTAACCGCTGACTTGGAAAATAAGGCCTTCATATGAAAGTCAAGTTTTAAGTAGAATTCAAATACACAGTTTTGTTACTTTTCTCAATATTAAAAATAATGTAATAATGTTAGTCTTATGGTATCATAGAAGGTAAATAATAAATTCTAACAATTTCCCAATTCATATAAATAAACATTTCAGCAAGACCAAAACAATGGATATAAAAGGGGACAAAATGAAGTGCTGAAAGCATGATGCAGCAAATCTGATTTTGTTAACCAAATTAATTAGCCATTTCCTCAACTCTTTCAAAGCAAAAGATCAGCTGCTGGTTTATAGATAAAGAAATAAAGCATGAAGCGCAGTTATAAATTCTTCCCAAAATAAAACGTATAGGTCACTCACACCTGAATACAGCGCCGCGCTGCAAACACGTGACGTAATGGAATCACGTGAAAACTAGGTCGACGATAACTGACCAAATTGCTTTGTGAATATAATATAAACACTCCGAATATATTTTCTTATTTATTTCTGTTATTTATCACTCTGTTATCTACAGTGAAAGTTTGAAGAGGTGAATCTGAATGACAGACACACCTGAGTCACGCAAAACCAGGAAGCTGGGTGACCTTTGATAAATAGTGTGCTCATGGACTTTTTTTTTTGTTACTAAACTTTAGTAATTTTAGGGTAAAATGTATGTAAATGCATGAATGTAAAGTTTAGATGCTGTAACTTTTCAATGTTTTCCCTCATTTTAATCACCATTTTGGGTTTACTAGTTTATTTTAAATGCTCATAGGGTTTGAAGAATTTTAAAAGTACATATATTCTTTGTAGCCTCTTAATTAATATGCGAGTATGACATAAATTAAATGGAGTGTAGCATGTAACAGCACAGGATGTCAACTTCCCCAAAGAATAGAATCTCAACTGCTCAAATATAACGACGCAACGTTAAACTACAAACCGCCCTAAACACACATATGCACTCTAAACACTAAAACAATAAGACATAGCGTTACTAATTATAGACGTAAATACACAACAAACAGGGCAACCAGCATGAGCAACACCTCCAGTTCACGTTTTATATTTCAATGAAGCAAACAGATAATAAACTCTTGACATAAGCTAAACTCTTAAAGAAACTAGTTCTGTTATCAGATAGTATCAAATCTACATAAAATGGAGACATGTTGTAGCACGTTTGCGGCATAAAAATGGATTAAACTTGCTAGCTTCCTGTGCTTTAGACATCTTCTGCTATCCGCCAACAGAAAATCATAAGAACTTTAGTAACGTTAAATCATACAGACTGCATAAGAAACCACGAAACAGAGCTGTCAATATTTAACAGGCAGCAGAAATAAGCACCCATTGAAACTTCGTAATCAAGTTGTCCCGTCAGGCTCTTACCGCAGCAGGATTTCCAGCGAGCTCTCGTGTTTGTCCAGCGGCCTCCCAAGAGCACTTTTACGCAGCTTATTGAGCTCTTCCACGGCACGGAGAGACTCCGTCTGCTCCTCACCGGGAGGATACGTGGACGTTACAAATTTCGACAACGGTTTCACTAAGTCGACCTCCGAGGACTTCTTCAACGGGACAGAAATAAACGTCGCCATTTGGGCCCGTGTGTGAAACACAATTCTAGTGGCGAGTGAGAACGCTGCAGACGGACAAAAACAAAGACAGAGCACTTCCTGGTTCTCCGGAGTGCGTCATCACGTCAGATGCGCTGTCAAAGTCACGCATGCGCATTCTGCGCTCGCTGGTGTAATCGCACACACGTTAAATGTCCTTCCATTTAAATCCATAAATATGTAAATAGCGTTTTATTTCCATGTTCCTGCACATGAGGCTTATGTAGAACTGTATTTTAGTATAGTATAAATTCTATAGATGCAGTAAATTCAACATATCAAGTTTTTGCTGGGTGTAACATAACTAATCACTGGTGCAAAATAAATGTATCTACATTGCACATTAAATTAATTTAACCAACAAATCTCATTTTAAATCTCATACATGTTGGTGAAATGCCAATGTACAAAATAATTTAAATAATTTAATAAAGATTATTCCTGAATTATTAGTTGAAGCATTTTCCCCATGTATCATAGCTCTGACTTTAAATTAATACTATAACAAAATTAGATTAATATTAATAATTCATTTTTAAAAAAAAAATTTGGATATCTACAGGTGCATCTCAATAAATTAGAATGTCGTGGAAAAGTTAATTTATTTCAGTAATTCAACTCAAATTGTGAAACTAGTGTATTAAATAAATTCAATGCACACAGACTGAAGTAGTTTAAGTCTTTGGTTCTTTTAATTGTGATGATTTTGGCTCACATTTAACAAAAACCCACCAATTCACTATCTCAACAAATTAGAATACTTCATAAGACCAATAAAAAAAACATTTTTAGTGAATTGTTGGCCTTCTGGAAAGTATGTTAATTTACTGTACATGTACTCAATACTTGGTAGGGGCTCCTTTTATGTTATGAATGTCTTATAATTTAATTGCAGACATCCTTCAAATTAGGAACATTACTTTTAACACTCATTTCTTTTTTTCTAGAAAACAGCTTAAAAAGTTTACCCCAGTTTCCCTTAAACATAATCAACTGTCAAATTAATTATCCTCTTACTTCGCAGTAGAAGTATGTCAGAGACCATATATGAAAATTATTTTTATTTCTGGTACAGGCATTAATTGTGTACATCTCAGCACCCCCTATGGAAGAGAGGCTTCTTTAGACAGACAGTGACATGAGGGCACCATGATTATCATCACGGAAACACAGAGGACAGTCCGGTGATCCACAGCATTTGATCAGAGGAAGAGCACAACACACCTCTTCATGGATTTAGACTTGGATCATTTGTTCAACCTGGAAACATTGTGTACACCAAAAGTCTATGTGAGCATCCAACAACAGCAAAGTATCCATTTCATTGTGGTATCAGTTTCAGTGCAGACTTGGTCATTCCCTTTTTTTTTTTTTTCTTTTTATGAGAATTAAAAGGAGTCAACATTCTTACAACCATGCTCCTCTATAAAGTAGCAATAATAAGCACAGTACATGCCAAAGCACAGCTGCCCAATACATGTCTACTAAGATAGAAGACCTATTGAGTCAGTCTCTATTTAAGAAGGAAAAAAAGATTGAAAAAAAGGCTTGCTGACTGCAGCCATGATGGCTAGGTTTAACTGGAGCAGCTGACGGTAAACCACGTGTGCATTTAGAAAAGCACCAGCCGAAGTCATATCCTAGGTCAAAAAATTAAGATAATAGAAAGCAAAGGCATTATGGGAAATATAATTTATGGCTGCATGTGATTGTGCACATTTATCAATAATCGTGTTATAATCTGTGCCAGGAGCTACTATAAAGGGCAGGTACGCAGTTACTGGGCACAGAGAATACGAAGCACAACAATCACAATCTAAAAACCATTAAACCATCATTTAATTCTAAACATGTGGAACCAGGTGACACTTAATTCATCCCACTAAGCACAAAGTAAATGCTAAGAAACTAACAGAATCTAGTCAACAGAAACAATGGCACCAGAAACGATTGGTCTTGAGAGAGGAATTGGAAAACGATATCAGCATTGACAATGTCATCTACGAGAGTAGGATACAGCCGAAACTTGAGTCTCACAACCTCACGCTAGCTGCAGGGCACCGTACTCAAACTCAAGGAATTATTTCAGCCAGACAGACAAAGACGTCCTGCGCATGCCTAAGTCAGTACGCGTTTCCCCACATTTGAAAAAGAGGTCATTACTATCTACCGAGGGGTTTGTGATAGCGTCTGCAGGCCAATCCGAAGGGGCAGGAAGCGAAACGGTTGACAACTCGCAGACAAAAGGCAGACAAACTCAAGTAAGTACTGTACGTTCATAATTAGCAAAGTGAAGACAGAGTCTGAGCATAGCCTTATCGCGGCGCCGGATGCTTAGATTCTTCCATGAACACCATGCTGAAGTAAAAGTGGTCACAATTCTCCTCCACTTCCTTGCGGTTTCTGCCCACCTCCATCCCTCCCGATTCAACCTTTAAAAACGCACTCGCACGCATACTTAAAAGCCCACTGCTCACACACACTGGCATCAGTTTAAGTGTTTTCAATATGAAACAATTTACACACTGAAGTCAGATTCTAACAGTTAGGAGGCCCTGCCCAACCCCAGCAATCTCTCTCTCCTCCGACGTGCGAGACGTGAAGAACGAGAGAGAGAGATGAGGAAAGGAAGAGAGAGGAGGATGGAGGGAACATGTTCAATGCTCAAGAATGGCAGTATGGAGGCCTTGAGATGTCATCACACTCTGCTTCACATTGCTTGCAGCAGCTCTACTTCAGGACCAGGTGAAATCCATCACTGGTGTCATCTGAGGATGAATAAAAGTCACAGAAATGTTGGAGAACAAGAAAAGCAGTGATGGGGTTTAATGAAATGTTTCCGCCATAGATACCTTGTATTGTGCTGACAATAAAACTGCTCTCATCTGGGAAGTTATAAACCATCTGTAAGCAAAAAAAAAAAAGATTGTAAGGCATTATCTTATATATTAGGATAAATTTGAGTTACTAAGGTCTTCTTCGCACTACACAGATTTGTTCCAAATATGATCTTTAGGACTAAATTTTAAATCATACCAGTGTTAAGTGTAGTGAGTATCATTTGTTGCTACAGTCATTTATATATATATATATATAGTTTCTATAAAAATAGAAAGCAGCACAACTGTTTTCAATATTAATAAGAAATGTTTTCTGAAGGATCATGTGACACTGAAGACTGGAGTAATAGCTGCTGAAAATTAAGTTTTGCCATTAGAGGGATACATTTTAAAGGGGTCATATGATGCGATTTAAATTTTTCCTTTCTCTTTGGAGTGTTACAAGCTCTTGGTGCATAAAGAAGATCTGTAAATTTGCAAAGACTAAAGTCTCAAATCCAAAGAGATATTCTTTATAAAATTTAAGAGTCAACCACTTTTTCCTTTCTCTTTGGAGTGTTACAAGCTCTTGGTGCATAAAGAAGATCTGTAAATTTGCAAAGACTAAAGTCTCAAATCCAAAGAGATATTCTTTATAAAATTTAAGAGTCAATCACGCCTACCTAAAACGGCTTGTTCTAACACGCCGCCACATACCTATGTCACAATGTGGGAAGATTTGCATAATGCCGCCCAAATGTTCACACAAAGAAAGAAGGCGTAACTTTTATTCTCGCTGTAGTATTGTTGCTGCCGCCATGTCGTGAAGACGCTGTATTTCGTTGTGAAAGCGAAACTACTTTGTTTGGCCTTCCAAAAGAGGACGATATCTGTTTCGTCATGCCTGGAGCTGATCCGTGCTGGTCGCTGAAATCCGTAATTATGACCCCACTGGATGCAACAAATGCCTCGTTTATAATGGGTTTTCATGTTTTTGTCTCATCGCTCCGGCAGGACAGTGCATTACAGTATGGTAAGGGGCGTAACATTTCCGTCACACGCTTGAGGTATTCGGCCAATCACAACGCACTTGATAGCTGGCCAATCAGAGCACACCTTGCTTTTCAAACCGATGAGCTTTGTAAAAATCTATGCGTTTCAGAAAGGCGGGGCATAGAGGAGAAACAATAATATACAATATGTGGAAAATAATTCGTTTTTTGAACCTTAAACCGCATAAACACATTTCATTACACCAAATACACAAAATAATGATCTTTTTAGCAGCATCATATGACCCCTTTAAAATAGAAGAGTGTTATTTTACATTGTAATATACATGTAAATAAATGTAGCCTTAATACATGGCATTACCATTCACTAGACAAATCTGTCACATGATGTTCTTCACCTACATGATCCAGTTTTTCATGACAATAACATCAGAAAAAAAAGTCTACAATGAAGTGTGTTTTATCTGTGGCATGATGCAAAAAATTATCCAAATGAGCAGCCACAGTTGGCCAACTTATTACCGCTACCTGATAACAGGGAAAGAGAAGAGACTGTATCTGGCTGCTTTTAGTGTGGTTGCATGAATCTGTGATGTAGGTCTGTGTTTACCTGGTCGCTGAGTAGTATGTGTATCCCTGTGGGCCCCTGTTTGTAGACTTGGTTGATGTGGGACAGTGGCAGTGCCAAGACACTGGAGATTTTCCTAGTTAGCTCGCAAGCCGTCATCTCCTCAAGGTAAAGAGCGTGGTAAACTAAACACAAATGCAGACGCATTTTAAAACAAGACCAACAATGATTGTAGATTTCACAGTAGACTGACTAAATAAAAACATAATACATCTGCAGAACCAAAAGAATACAAACAGAAAGGGTTTGACCTATTTAATGAGACAAAAATGATGGAATTTGCAACAATTTTACAATTGGCTGTGATGCAATGTGTTTGATAAAACATTAAATACTTAATTTATCCAAATGAACAAACATATTCATCTGTGAATTTCTATAGAATTAATTTATTAGGTAACCAGTAATTAGGAAACCTGATTATTTCTTGGTAAATGAGTTTGGGGTCTGAGCACAGCGTTTTAAGTCTGTTATTAGAAGTGGCTGCAGAGAGAATGATGTCGGGTTTGAGGTGTGGTCTTGTTGCCATGTCAAATGTCAATTGTTATGGTGTTGTGTTTTCGAGAGCAGGATGAGCAGCCATTCGTATTATGACTTTTTTTATGGTTGCATCTTTATCTTACAAACTACCCGTTAATGGTTTGGGGTCAGTAAGATTATTATTATTTTATATATATATTTTTTTAATTTAAAGCTTTTTATATTTTACAGAAGGGGTAGGTAAAATCTTTAAGCTTTTTTTTTTTAAATGTCTCTTATGCTAACCAAGACTGTATTTATTTGATTAAAAATACAGTAATACAGTGAAATATTATTACAATTTAAAATAACCCTTTTAATATAATAAAAATAACAATTTTAATGTTTCAACATGTAATTTATTCCTGTGATGGCAAAGCTGAATTTTCAGCAGGCATTACTCAAGTCTTAAGTGTCACATGATCCTTCAGAAATCATTCTAAGAAACATTTCTTATTATTATCAATGTTAAAAACAGTTGTGCTGCTCAATATTTTTAGGTAAACTGTCTGTGACATTTTTTTCATAAATAGAACATTCAAAAGAACGGCAGACTTTTTTGTAACAACGTTAAAAGCTTTACTGTCACTTTTGATCAATTTAATGCATCCTTGCTATTAATTTCTTTTAAAAAAGCATACTGAACTTATCAACTTTTGAATTGCTAATTTGTGCTAATTTGTCTCATGTCTGCCCTGCAATTTATCTTGTAATAGTTTGAATATTGTAATGTAACAGCCTAATGTGTATGATTGTGGGGTTTTCAAATTCCTAACAACTTTCAGTAATTATTAGATTGAAACATTTTCATTAATGTGAATGCATTTAACATAGCCATCTGTTGCGGTTTTATGTTACCAATGTCAAAATTATTATTATTTTTTAAATCAAGCAAACTGAGAGCACTACCTTACATTTTGATTAAGTCATGCAGCTTACACTTTTTACATTATGTGGTATTGAGTATCAGAAAAACGAAGTGAACACCTTTTGGTTCACCATTTGTATTACTTTGGCGGAAAGGTTATGAAGGTTCGTACAATAGATCAAGCAATTCAGTGCTGCTGAATAATCCTGCACTGCATGTTTGTTGTTGCCACACAATAGATGTTATTTATTTGTTATGATTGTGGTATGTTAGGAATGGCTGTGCAAGTCTCCACGATTGATATTTATATACCAGGTATGGATGTTGGACTGCTGTGTTCGCCGTTTTTGCTGTGGCCACGTTTCTCCAGGAGAGGGCTCTCACTCTGAGACGCCTCCAGGGACACGTAAACTGTGAGTCTGGGACGCACTGCTCTGTACCAGGACACAAACACACACAATGTGAACAGAATTCTTTAATTTACACATTCATAATGGTAAGAAAACTCATATATTAACATCACTTGTGATTTTCTTTTAATCATACCTTGACTTTAGTGCATTGTAGAGTCTGATTCCATCAGCTGCACCACAAATTTGGACTAAATCCTCACGAGTTAATTTCAGTAGATCAGAACCTAAGATGAAAAACCAGTCGTATCAAATTGGTCTTATTTATAACTACTTATAGTTTAATGCTGTGTCTGTTAGGGCTGGATAATTACACAGATTTCCCTTTTCCATTGGATTCTGATTCAGAACTCTAGATTCTATTAAATTCTGATTCAGTCTATTTCGATATTTCAGTTTTAATGCCCTATTTGATTATGTTTATAAGAAAGAGATTCTTTCAAATTATATTAGGCAACCATTTCAGACTGATTTAAACTGGTAACTTATCTTTTTAGACTATTCATTAAAAGAACCAGTTCATAAGAGTCATTTGTTCATGATTTAGAATACACTGTATGTTTGGTTTTACACAGCTTGTGAGGACAACTAAGAATCGATATCAGGATGATTCAAATGAAGACTGCAATTCTTCATATACAGATATTTTTACCCAGCCCTAGTGTAGTTTAATCTTTGCAACAGAAACTGTGTAAATACCTGAGAAATGGGTGAAAATACGACTGTATGAGTTAAATCTGTTCTTAAGCAGCCACTTCTGTGTGTCCTGTATAGATGCTGTGGGACTCAGAGACTGCAAAATGTTCACAGATTTATGTTTTTCAGATGCAACAGAAAAACAAATGTGCATCTTTTAAGGCAAATTAGTAAAGATTTAATATATAAACATGTACAAACCTCCATAGACATGAGGCTACCAAGATCCCCTTGATGGTTAGGTGAAGACGACTCACTGAAAACAAAAGTACAAGCATTAGGTAAAGCCTAACTGTGGTTCATGGCACAATGTAAAAGAAACAGAGACGCTTCATGAGTGTGTCACCTGTCTGGTACTGTGCTGTTAGGGCTGTAGGTGTGTGTGCTGGAGGTGAAGGTCGGTGTAGCTGCTGTGTTGGGGTTGACGTATGCATTATCTGGCCATGGAGAGCACTACAAAGAGAGAAAGAGAGATATGTGAGAAAAAGTCCAAAGTGATCCTAAACAAAACTGAATTCTGATGTCAGACTAATGTATGACCCGCCACACGCTGATGAAGGACACTGATCTAAAAACAAATATGAACCATGTTTTGGAGTTTCGAATGAGTGAACTGTTAACGCAGCAGAGGTGAGTGGGCACTTACACTTCCTCTTTTGCTTTTGGCGATGGAATCGCCACAGTCTGCAGGTAGTGTCCGCTTGCTGGATTTCTTTAGCTCATGTTCTACAGCCTCCTCAATCACAGGCTCCAATCGAGTCTACGCAAAAAGAGACAAACCACAGTGAAAAAACAGAGAAAAACAGACACATGTAAATTAGAATACAGTCAGTTTTCTGACCTGTGTTGATGTTCTTCCTACTGAAACAGGAAGTTTAGGTAAAACATATTAAAGGGCTTGTCCCTTTTTTCAACAGCTAATTACTTGTTATAACCATTAACCATGATTTGCTCTTTGCTAGTTATAGGTGATAAACTGGAAGGAATGTTGTTCATCAACATCAATCATTTCGGTTTTTTGAGCAGAGTTGTTATTTCTAACCAAGACTTATTATGGTTAATTGAACAAGTTTAAATTAATTAAACTATATATATACAGTGGGGCAAAAAAGTATTTAGTCAGCCACCAATTGTGCAAGTTCTCCCACTTAAAAAGATGAGAGGCCTGTAATTTTCATCATAGGTATACCTCAACTATGAGAGACAAAATGAGAAAAAAAATTTAAGGGAAATCTTTTTTTGGGAGAACTTGCACAATTGGTGGCTGACTAAATACTTTTTCCCCCCACTGTATATATATATATATATATATTACATTTAAAAAAAAACTTAAATGAAAATTAGAAATGTTGACTTGGCAACTAAATGAAATATAATAATTGGAAGTACTAAAACTACTAAAACTAAAATAGAAATAAACCAAAGCTAAACAGAAATATTTAGAAAACAGAAGCAAAAAATATATAAAAATAAAAGCTAAATCAAAATTAGGGCTGAACAATTTTGGAAAATAATCAAATTGCGATTTATTTTTTTTTACCAATATTGTGATTTAATATGCAATTATTTTTTTTAAAGCTCTTTATGTTCTGTATTATTCAACAAAGACAAGCTATAAATCATTGTATAGTATGACCAACACAATATTAGATAGATTAAACATAAATGTTCTTTTCTGTAGGCCAGGCCTATACGTTACGATGAAATTAGGTGATGCATGAATTGATATGAATGACATTTTTATTTAACAACTACAGTCACAGTACATTGACTGATTTGTTGAACTTCCAACCAAATAATTATGTTTAAATAAGCCTGGTGTAAACATTAATATGAAAGTCAGTAACAAATCACACAAACTAAAGTAGATTGCAGAAATATAAAAACAAATCTGTTGCTTTAGCACACTACTTTAGGTAATTCAAAGTCACTGTAATAAACATATGTAAATATGTGCACTGCACTTTTAAACACTGTCTGTTAACTTTAACTTTTTTGGTCGCTTCCCTTTAAACCTATACAAAAAAAATCTGCGCCCCTTTCCCGAATCCCCATTCCACCTCAGACGACCAAATAATTTCACTAAACATTATGAAAAATTTATGCTTTTTTAATTTAAAAGACCTACAGGGAAAAAAACACCTGCATCACTTGAAACATTGAAAAATAGCATAGAGAGAATAACTTATTATTATTATTCTCTCTGTTATTTATTTATTTTTTGTGGGTTTCATGCTGTCCGCTAAGGCATAGAACACACAGGCTTTCCTCCTCACCAGCGACATTAAACACCGTGTCTACACCAGACGAGAGCGGCAAAATACAGTAGAACCCATTATAATCAGTGACGCTGTGTACACTGGATGCGGCGCGGAGCGACAAAACCCGACACTAAACTGATGCCTTGTTCTATTTATGACGTACTGACACGAAGTTAAAATTATTTGCAACGGTCGCTTTGTCCAGTGTAGAGCTGTTGCGACACGACGCACAACTGTAGCGTCCGGTATAGACAAGGTGAGTGAAGCCGAGAGCAAGATATGCCTCGTCATATTTTCAGCAGCGACAAAACCCGACACTAAACTGATGCCTTGTTCTATTTATGACGTACTGACACGAAGTTAAAATTATTTGCAACGGTCGCTTTGTCCAGTGTAGAGCTGTTGCGACACGACGCACAACTGTAGCGTCCGGTATAGACAAGGTGAGTGAAGCCGAGAGCAAGATATGCCTCGTCATATTTTCAGCAATTAGCTTTTGAATGTCCAGCACCTGCCTGGGTCTGTGCCACTTCATCTATGGCTTTTCTCTTCGCTTTCACAAACCGATCCATCTCCCATTCTAAGTTACGTCCTTTGGCTGTTTACCGTTTTATTTATTTTCTTTTTCTGCTGATGGCCCACGCTCGACTTGAAGCAGTGCTGCTTAGACCGATGGGTGTGTCATCAAAGTACTGTGAGAGCTATAAGAGAGCACGGAGGTCTCCTTATGCTTTCTCTCGCTTGCCGTACTTTGATGTCATACAGCGATCTGATCTTCAAGTCGAACACACCTCTTCACTCTCGCGTGTCACGTGACCGTGTAATCGCAGCCTCTGCGATTGAAAAATCGCGATATCATCGCAAATGCAATTAATCGTTCAGCCCTAATCAAAATATAATTAAATACTAGAATAGCATATAAAAATTCTAAAATAATACTGTTTCTGAAATAAGGGGAAAGTTCCTACAGGCATTAATAGTATTTATAGTATATGTGTGAAATTATGTACACTGACTTAAGATTGAGACTTCAGTCATATTTAATTTTAGGCCACTGATTTTAAACTCGATATAAAGTTGTCCCTGCCATATGGTGGCTGTAACATGACCAGCTAAATGCTCTTTGCTTTATCTCAGCAACCCCTTATTATCGGTCTAAATTAATCAAGGGTGACATATACATCTATGAAGAGGCTATTTTTACAATTAGTAGCCAGTAGTAGTTTTTTATTTTCTATGTAATGCTGTATCCATGTCAATAGGTGGCAGTATTAATAGGTGACAAAACAAAACATAAATACTTGAATATTCTTGCCTCTGACAAAATAGTGGTGTCATAAGAGGGTTGATATTTTTCTTTCTCCTGCACTGTCTTTTTCTCCATCTTCTCTCGGTCTGTTTTTTGTTTTCTGTCTGCTCCCTTTGGCTGTTAATAGGAGAGTATGAGTTACAGTTTAATACAACCTCTTCACTCTCGCGTGTCACGTGACCGTGTAATCGCAGCCTCTGCGATTGAAAAATCGCGATATCATCGCAAATGCAATTAATCGTTCAGCCCTAATCAAAATATAATTAAATACTAGAATAGCATATAAAAATTCTAAAATAATACTGTTTCTGAAATAAGGGGAAAGTTCCTACAGGCATTAATAGTATTTATAGTATATGTGTGAAATTATGTACACTGACTTAAGATTGAGACTTCAGTCATATTTAATTTTAGGCCACTGATTTTAAACTCGATATAAAGTTGTCCCTGCCATATGGTGGCTGTAACATGACCAGCTAAATGCTCTTTGCTTTATCTCAGCAACCCCTTATTATCGGTCTAAATTAATCAAGGGTGACATATACATCTATGAAGAGGCTATTTTTACAATTAGTAGCCAGTAGTAGTTTTTTATTTTCTATGTAATGCTGTATCCATGTCAATAGGTGGCAGTATTAATAGGTGACAAAACAAAACATAAATACTTGAATATTCTTGCCTCTGACAAAATAGTGGTGTCATAAGAGGGTTGATATTTTTCTTTCTCCTGCACTGTCTTTTTCTCCATCTTCTCTCGGTCTGTTTTTTGTTTTCTGTCTGCTCCCTTTGGCTGTTAATAGGAGAGTATGAGTTACAGTTTAATACATACTAAAGACTTCAATGTCACATTAATGCTTCAAAACATACCCATTAAGCATTCAATATAGGAAACACAAGGGTGAAATGGATTCAGAGCTGCAATCTTCAACCAAACACCACAGATATTTCCTTGCATTTAATGCATGTTTGCATGCGTGTGGCATCACCTTAAAGACTTTGATCTGGCAGCTGGCGGAGTGCAGGTGCTCGGTGTACTCTCCGCTTTCATTTTGTTTAAAAGTGTCAATCTGGATCCGGAACGGAACTCCTTTCTCTCCACCGTGTTTCCGCGGGGTGAACTCTGTACTGATGCAATGAACCTTCAATAAGGGAAGGAAGGAAAGATAATTAACGTGGAACACATGATCGGTTCCTGAAGCACTCTTGAGAAGATCCTTGGCATCCATTGCACTATTTCTGCACAGATTAGGATGTGCCAGATACGTTTTTAATCAACTGGAATGATATTCAGATGTTGGAAATTGATCAAAGGTCAAGAGATAATGTCAAAGAGCTAGTAGCCCTAATCAGACTCTCTCCAACATGTCTGGGACTTTAAGATAATCTCAAACATGTCTGACGCTATTGGCACAACATCTACATAGCTCCTTTGAGTGTGTGAGAGAATTTCTGGCCAATGAGATAGTGCTTCAGGCATGTTCTATTCATTAACTACACAAAACAGCTGTGAGGATCTTGACAGCCAGAATTTAATATTGACCTGAAGCATCACACACTAGTGAATGCTCAACTGCACATTTATGTGCTCAATTTTTGCAAAAACATAATTATTAATATTATACAGGGGCAACTAGTATAAGGAAGTTCCACAGAGAAGCATTGAAGAGCAAACAGCATATGATTATTCAACCAAATTCAAGTAATATGTCCTAAATAAGGATGTATAAACATCAAAGTTTCAGTACTTGATATCAATGTAGTAAAAATTTCACAATTCTTAATACCAATTTTAATACCACAGCAAAATATATTGATGACAATAAAGTATTATAATGGTAATATTATTTTAATAATTTAATGCAATATAAATGTAATTTAATGTAATATACATAGAACACGCACGTATTTTAAAATGTTAAATTACATTCTTATTACATTCTATATTTTTTATTAAAGTAAACATATATATATATATATATATATATATATATATATATATATATAAATTTATGTAAATAGTAAACAGACAGAAATAATTGCTTTATATATACAGGTTAAGCATTCACTCAGTGAGGGATTCCTCAGACTGATTCAAAACAGTAGTTTGAGACACAAATCATTAAAAGAAATGACTTCTAAGAGTCATTTGTTCATGAATCAGACTACATTGATCACACTGTTATTATTTATTTATTTATGTATGTGACCAGCAAAGACAATGGAAGAAAAATGTTGTCTATTTACTGGTCAAAAGTTTGGGATAATTTGAGAAAATATTTTTATTTAGCACCCATGCATTAAATTGATCAAAAGTGATAGTAAAGATTTTAAATATACATTCAAAAAATAATTTAATATATATTATTTTATACATGTTTAGAGATAAATGGACGTAACAATGTCATTACAAAACTGTGCCAGTAAACAACTTAAACGGATAGTTCACCCAAAAATGAAAATTCTGTGATTAATTATTCTCTCTCGTGTCATTCCAAACCTCTAAGACCTTCGCTCATCTTCAGATCACAAATTAAGATATTTTTTTATGAAATCTGAGAGTTTTCTGACCCTCCCACAGACAGCAATGCAACTGACACGTTTAAGGCCCAAAAAGGTAGTGAGGACATCGTTAAAATAGTCCATGTGACATCAGTGGTTCAACCGTAATTTTATGAATTTTACGAGAATACTTTTTGCACGCAAAGAAAACAAAAGTAATTGACTTTATTCAACAATTTTTTCTCTTCTGTGTCAGTCTTCCCCATGTGCTCACAAGGGTACCACGACGCATGCGTGTAGTGCATGCGCCAGCATTCATCGTCTGTATATTCTGATTCAAATAAGTAAGGCTGTGCAAAAAAATTGCAAGTCATCTTTTCTGTCGAAATCTTCAGACATTTTTACGAAGACTGTTTTATGTACAGCGTGCGTCTTCCTCTGCTTGTAAACAAGGCACAGCGCATCCGGGTTCAACGTCAGAGCATCAGCAGCGCCACACAATGAATGCACTTCGAAGACTGACACGGAAGAGAAGAAATTGTTGAATAAAGGTGTTATTTTTGTTTTCTTTGTGCACAAAAAGTATTCATGTAACTTCATAAAATTATGGTTGAACCACTGATGTCACATGGACTATTTTAACGATGTCCTCACTACCTTTTGGGCCTTGAACATTTCAGTTGCGTTGCTGTCTATGGAGGGTCAAAAAGTTCTCAGATTTGATCAAAAATATCTTACTTTGGTGAACAAAAGATGAGGATGAACAAAGATCTTACGGGTTTGGAACGACATGAGGGAGAATAATTAATGACAGAATTTTCATTTTTGGGTGAATTATCCCTTTAATGTGTCACTCAAAGCTTTTCGTTATTATTTTTATTAATCATTGAAATTTTATAGTCATATAACGCATCCACTCGCCTTGAAAGGTTTGTGATCAACCATTTAGATATTATAAAATGAAAAAACAGAAATGAATCAAAAAAGTATGAATAACAAAAACACTTAAATCTAAAAATAATCAGTATCATACTGGTCATAAAAAACATACCGGTTGATTTGAACTATTCTGTAGAACAAATTTCCTTGTTAATTTTTTTCCTCTCTAATTTCAATTTATATGGCAAACTGTCAACATATAATTAATTTTGCCAAGTTGTTGTAGATTCACTGAATACCACACCACACAAAACCACAAGTGCACAGCACTGATAAAACACACACAATCTCTCACCTTAACAGTCTTGTTGTTGAGTTCAGGCATCTCCTCTATTTTCCTATTATCAAGCAATCGGATCTCATACGACTGGCCTACAGTGGGAGAGGGGAAGCGTGTTACTGAAAATCTTCTCAACAAGGGTCTTGATATTCTCTAAGGAATAGAGAAAGAAATATAGTTAATGAAAACCATACCTTGGTTTAGGTAGGTGAGCGTCTCCTCGTGCAGTTTAACAGCAGGGGACGTGGCGGTACACAGCACATACTGAAACGGAGGATTCTTGGTGTCAGACTCCACAGGGACGCTAACATCTTCCTGCTTAAAGATGGGCAGAGCCAACACATCACTGAGGAAAACAAACACAGACACAAAGAGAAACGGAAGTTACGGAATATGTCGGTTAGAACCACAGAACCTCTCCCATCAGTATGGAAATGGTTGTCACGGAAACAGGTATACGGGGAGCCCCCGTCTGCTTACACCTATAGACACTTTAAAAACCACACGACACATGACCGCTCTTGCATACATCTGAACCAAAAACATATAAAGACATATTCTCATCAGACTGCTAGGAAATAAAAATAAAACAAAAGGCAGGTATGTATTTACAATAATGAATTTTTGGTCATCTTTGGTCATCTTGGTACTTTTCTGGACCTTGAACGTGGTAGTTACCTTGCTGTCTATGGGAGGGTCAGAGAGTCCTCATATTTCATCAAAAATATCTTAAATTGTGTTCTGAAGATGAACGGTCTTACGGGTTTAGAACGACATGAGGGTGAGTAATTCAGAATGAGTTTTTTTATAGGTAATATAGGGTTAATTCAGAATTAATGACAGAATTGTCATTTTTGGGTGAACTAACCCTTTAACATGCGACCTGTATCCGGATGTTGTCCACATACACATTGAAAAGACAAGTGTAAACGCGCTTCCGATCGGAATGTTATCCGATCAGCGTGTCCTGCTCCAGAGGTAGTCGAGGACGCATTGTGATCGGATCTCAATGTAATGTAAATGCAATCCAGCCATCATGTCTGCATTCACAGGTCGATGTCATGCAAAACCCCACCCCCTCTTTCGCGAACTGTCAGAAGAGAGAGGCCGTGGAGCGCTAGGGAGACTCGTACAGTTATTTTCCTTTGTTAAATGTCCCGAGACTGAAAATGGTTTAAAAAAGGAATCCCACCACTTAGGGTCGACTTTGTACCGGGGCCATTCTCTGCAGACTTATTTAAATATTGCGCGGGAACGACAGATCTGATGTTATCCAGATAGACAAGTCAGCTGATGTTGCCAAGTGTAAACGCAGTGTGTCCTGATTGACTGACGATCCGATCTGCTTGATCAGATCACGGTGATCACATGTTAATGCCAAGTGTAAACGCGTTATCCAGATAGACAAGTCAGCTGATGTTGCCAAGTGTAAACGCAGCGTGTCCTGATTGACTGACGATCCGATCTGCTTGATCAGATCACGGTGATCACATGTTATTAATGCCAAGTGTAAACGCAGATGCATTTACACACTGTTTAATGCAGCTCTGAGGGACATGGAATACTCTAACCTGCAGTTACAAATGCATAAATAATGTTTTGATATTTTAAACATAAAACATTAAAAACTGATGTTTGAAATTATTTAAAAAATGAAAAGGTACCTTAAATGTGAAATTAAAACTGCCAGTAGGTGGCAGCAAGTCACTATTATGTGAGTCACTGCGATTGAACCGAATCATTTAAACGGTTGATTAATTCAGGAGCAAAACACCGTCATGTTGCTCAGAGACACAAAACAGCGCTGTTGCTGTGTTTGGAATGATTTTTGTTGGAGAATATGCAGGAAATATGGTGTCTAAAACATAAGTCTCTTAATATTAACTAGGGGTGCTCCGATCAGGATTTTTGAGGCCGATCACAGAAAGCAGTATCTGCCGATACCGATCACGATCTTTTTAAAGCCTTCTTTTTATTATTTATAACTATTTATAGTGATACTCCAATCAGGATTTTTAGACATTTATTCAGGCCTGAATTTCATTTTTGAAAATGGGGGGAATTCCCCTCTTAGGTGACTCTTGTGAGAGGAGAAGCAGCTTTCACACAGGAGTCCGCTACTGATCCGTGGCTGTTTACCACAAACACAACATTTATCCATTATTTTGATTTCAAATCCAAACATTGTCACTGAAAATGCTTTTTCAGCATTGCAATTCTTTTTTTACACAGTACAGTAATGCAATCTTCCAAAGACATGTTTAAACAATAAATATAAGCAACACATAAAAAAAAGTAAACTTTTTACTTTTGCATTTACTTCTAGATTTACATATATTAAGTTGCTCAAGCAAGTGGCAAAACATTTAAACTACTTTTCTAACGTTATCACAAACTTACCATTGACAGAAATAGTCAGCTCTACTGCCTTTCCTTTTGCATTGAAATCTTTATTACACAGTAGATAATTTAACTACTTTAATAATATGCATGCATTTATGGTGTAATTACAAAATTTGTGTCAATCCATGTTCACATTTACTGCAAAAAATGCGCTGTTACTTTAATTCAGCAATAGACTCGGTGCGGAAACCATCTCTGCACTGCAACAGACGCACCGCTCCTGAACGCACTGCCGGACCGCAACATTTTAATAGACTGATTCACGCAGTGAAAGAATGCACTATAAAAGCGCACGCGCACTAGTCTAACCTGCTAGACTTCATCATCTAATGCATGCGTGCACTCTGTAGGTGTTTTGTTTCCTTTTCGCGATATACTCAATAATATCAAATCGCACATCGTTAAAACAACAATTAGGATATAATCGCAGACCATACATATCGCACACTCCTATTCTGTTTAGATTTTTATAATGCATTGTCTTCTTGTCAATCCACCAGTTCACATTTAAAGCTCTGCGTGTTTGCAGGGTAAAAACATGGATTGATTTTTGCATTTGTCGCAGTAGTGTTGATGCAGCCATGTCAGGGAGAGCTGTGTGTTTCAGTGCGAAAGCCTTATTTGACCTTCTGGAAGTAGATGCAATTAGGAATTGTAGCGTCTCGACCAATCTGACACACTAATTTTTATTTGATTTAACAAATCAATTATTCATTAGATTAACAAATCGTCACAGTCCCCTCACTCAATAAACTGGATGCCAGGATTTCTGCTGAACACCATGGAAGTAGATGCAATTAGGAATCATTGGTTAAGATTTATTTACAACAGAACAGCACAACCCAGATGTTCGAATTTTGGCAACCCATCTTATGGACGAAAGTTTTTTTAACCTAGAAGAGTACAAGGCTGGCTGTGCACAAAAGCTATTTCTAAAAAAAAAAAAAGAAAAAAAAAAAGGGGTTAATTCTGACTTTGCTATGACAATCTGACGCTTTTGAATCTGCGAGTGTAAGTATGTTTTGTTATTAGCTTAAGCATTTGCTATTGACTGTTCAAATGCGTAAGGCCTTACATTTGATACAATTAAATTTAAGACTTTAAGACCTGCAGAAACCCTGTATGATTCTTTAGGGTCTTAATGAAAAGTCTAACATAATTTGGTTAAAATTTCTCAATGGTAGTGTAAAAAACACCTTTTTACCCTGTCAAAAATAGCTCTTTTCAGAGCATGCAGATTTGTAGCATTTTCCTTTAAATGTTAATGAGCTCTGCTGAGCCCGCCCCTCTCTTCCAAGCCACTCTCTGAGAGATTGTTTACTTTAGCTGCATTCATCATGAAACTTGCTAATTAGCACATTATTAGGAAAGGCCATTTGCAAAGATTCATTAAAAAAATCTTATACTCACTTCTTCTGTAGATGAGGCTGGATCACGAATGATTCGCTCGAACAGACGCATTTAGGCAGATCGGGGGCGCATTCCCTTCAAAAACAAACGTAATCCACTGCGTCTTCAGCGGCTCAGATGTCGGGAGTAAATGACGACTGCTATGTTAATTATTACATCCAACAACAAAACACCTCAATCGCTTAGGAGTCATTCTTGTCTACATCTGCTCCAGTGGTGAAACAATGGCGGACTGATGACAGCTCTCACTCAGCGCGGGTCTAAGGTAAGACACCAGTCCAGTCTGTGCTGAAACGCTACTGTCAATCAAACTCTCGTGGGAGGGGCCTGTCTGTGTGACAGCACACAGACAGGCATCTGAGATCGGCTCGATTTGAGAAAGGGGAAAACATTTAATCAGATTTTTAAAAAAACACTGGGTGGATTTTTATCATTATAGGGTGGTTGCGTACACGCACTGCCAACACACATTTCAGTTCAAACTACTTGTAAAAGTGCATGTAGCATCCTATGACCCCTTTAAAAAAATACTCAAACATAAAAGTTAGTTTAAATGGTAATTTCACAGTTTTATTTTTAACAAATGCAGCCTTGTTGAGCATAACAGACTTCCTTCAAAAACAGTAAAAAAAAATCTTACTGACCCCAACATTTTGATGGTAATATGTACACAATATCAAAAAATCAACAATGAACAATTAATTTACACACTATTTAGCCCAAAATATTATTATATTTTATATATTAGGCCATGGCTCTGAGCTTGACACTGCTTTGCCACACTCACACACATACAGGCGGTATCAGGTCAGTGCACTGACAGCTAAAGACGCTGAGTCAGTTAGCTGGCAGTCTGTTTGACATGACGCGACGTTTGTAACAGTGTGGCCCGCAGGATCCTTCCTGCCCACCAATCTGCAAGTGTTTTCTGAAATATGAGCAGCTCCACTGTAACATTCCGTTCCACAGCTGCTCATTCCACATGATCACAAGTTAGATAATCAGCATCTCACACCCTCATTTACCTCAAACGCAACACGAAAACATCACCATTAGCACCACGTCACAGCACTGACCAACAGACACAGCAAGAAAATAATAAGCACATCTCCATGATATCTGGAACTTGAACTTATCTGACCCTGTTCTCTGAAAACACCTGCAAACTGCAAATGCAGAAAATTTCATATTCCTGTCCATATCTCATAAAAGTTAGAAATATAAGGGCAGCTGACATGAAAATTGCCATATCCTGCCTGCAATGTGACATGTTATCGTTAATTTTAAATTAATTTAAACAGCATTTTGATCATTCTTTTATAATCGTGCATGCAGGTTTCATGACCTCATTAAATCAGAAACTACATGGAATTTTGTATTTGTTTTAAAAATGTATGTCATGGAACCATTTTAAATGAACTAGTCAATGCAAAAAGATTGTCTTTTAAATAAAATATACAATTTATTATTATTATGCAACATCAATACCAACACCAACTATTTCCATTATGGATGGAGCCATATTTAAATTCTGCCTGATACGGCTAAGCCAATAATTATTGCATTTTCTGGGCAACAATCAATGGTCAATATAATAAATGTATGCTATTTTGTCTAAATCAATGAAAAACAATACAATTGAAACTACAATTAGATTATTTAAATGTAATAAAATACAATGACAAATATTAAACTCTTACAGCACAATAAAAAAAAACTATGTGAGATATTTCAAATTCATAATATGAAGCTTCCTTGGTGAGACCATTTTGAAAAATTCATTAAGAACTTGCAGGACAGTGTCATAAAATATGCGTAACAGACAATCGTGTCCGCAAAAATATGATTAAAATGTTTAAAAATAACTAAATAGCAGACACATAACACTTTCTCTAATACATGTATGCATGTTTTAACCTGAAGTCTGTGGCCAGGTTATGCCTCAATGACCCAAAAACACTGTCTGGTCCTCTAACACCAATAGAGGACTGTGTCAACTGCAAATCTGCAGGGGGCTGGAAGAGTAGCAAGAAACTTGATATCACAGGGGGAGAGCATGTGAACAGCCCTCTTCCCACTGTCTCACACTACAGCGCTCCCACCACTAACAAATCCTCCACAGAATGTAAACTCACTCAACCACTGACTATACTCTCTCTCACACAGAGTATTTCGGACACTTGCATATGCACACTTGCAGAATAACAGAGCGCTCCAGGGAAAGTGCTGATGTTGCTCTTTCCACCACAACCTCCAGAAGCCCGCCACATCCCAGAGTAACCGTTCCATGGAACCTGACCTCAGGCGCATAATATGTATTCCTATCACGCAGGCTGCTGGCGATTTGGAAAAACGACATATAGAGTTTAAATATGCTCCATCATTAATACCCCAATGAAAATGTGACGTATGCAGGGGGATTGTGGTTTGCCTCTTCCAATGCTGTAGCACCTGGCATGCAGTTGGAACTCATGAAAGTGTTTTCTGAAATATGAGCAGCTCCACTGTAACATTCCGTTCCACAGCTGCTCATTCCACATGATCGCAAGTTAGATAATCAGCATCTCACACCCTCATTTACCTCAAACGCAACACGAAAACATCACCATTAGCACCACGTCACAGCACTGACCAACAGACACAGCAAGAAAATAATAAGCACATCTCCATGATATCTGGAACTTGAACTTATCTGACCCTGTTCTCTGAAAACACCTGCAAACTGCAAATGCAGAAAATTTCATATTCCTGTCCATATCTCATAAAAGTTAGAAATATAAGGGCAGCTGACATGAAAATTGCCATATCCTGCCTGCAATGTGACATGTTATAGTTAATTTTAAATTAATTTAAACAGCATCTTGCAGCATTTTGATCATTCTTTTATAATCGTGCATGCAGGTTTCATGACCTCATTAAATCAGAAACTACATGGAATTTTGTATTTGTTTTAAAAATGTATGTCATGGAACCATTTTAAATGAACTAGTCAATGCAAAAAGATTGTCTTTTAAATAAAATATACAATTTATTATTATTATGCAACATCAATACCAACACCATCTATTTTCATTATGGATGGAGCCATATTTAAATTCTGCCTGATACGGCTAAGCCAATAATTATTGCATTTTCTGGGCAACAATCAATGGTCAATATAATAAATGTATGCTATTTTGTCTAAATCAATGAAAAACAATACAATTGAAACTACAATTAGATTATTTAAATGTAATAAAATACAATGACAAATATTAATATGACTCTTACAGCACAATAAAAAAAAACTATGTGAGATATTTCAAATTCATAATATGAAGCTTCCTTGGTGAGACCATTTTGAAAAATTCATTAAGAACTTGCAGGACAGTGTCATAAAATATGCGTAACAGACAATCGTGTCCGCAAAAATATGATTAAAATGTTTAAAAATAACTAAATAGCAGACACATAACACTTTCTCTAATACATGTATGCATGTTTTAACCTGAAGTCTGTGGCCAGGTTATGCCTCAATGACCCAAAAACACTGTCTGGTCCTCTAACACCAATAGAGGACTGTGTCAACTGCAAATCTGCAGGGGGCTGGAAGAGTAGCAAGAAACTTGATATCACAGGGGGAGAGCATGTGAACAGCCCTCTTCCCACTGTCTCACACTACAGCGCTCCCACCACTAACAAATCCTCCACAGAATGTAAACTCACTCAACCACTGACTATACTCTCTCTCACACAGAGTATTTCGGACACTTGCATATGCACACTTGCAGAATAACAGAGCGCTCCAGGGAAAGTGCTGATGTTGCTCTTTCCACCACAACCTCCAGAAGCCCGCCACATCCCAGAGTAACCGTTCCATGGAACCTGACCTCAGGCGCATAATATGTATTCCTATCACGCAGGCTGCTGGCGATTTGGAAAAACGACATATAGAGTTTAAATATGCTCCATCATTAATACCCCAATGAAAATGTGACGTATGCAGGGGGATTGTGGTTTGCCTCTTCCAATGCTGTAGCACCTGGCATGCAGTTGGAACTCATGAAAAAACCAATATGTAACTATGAATAAATTGTAGCGTGTGATGTTTTGGACAGTTTGATAATGGTCAGATTCAACTTAATAACAAACGGCTATAATAATATTAGTAGCGCCTGAAAACAATATTAAAATTGTATTTCTAAAAAAAATAAGCCCAATAGTAAAGGTGAACCGTGATATTTTTAAGCAAAATAGAACCGTTTAGTTCTGATGTCAATTAGTAGGCCAACCTGAAAGTTGATGTAGGTGCAGTAAATGTTTGTCTTTTATTTTATATTGTGATAATGCATTTCAAGTGTTTGGTCACATGGGTGCAAGAGGATATTTCCCTGGTTGTGTTTCCTGACGTGTGAGTAGCAGGGAATGCTCAATTTCTGTTGATCACTCCAGATGTTTTTAATCCTTCTTAATTGTCCTTTTACGTACATAAGCAGTTGTTTGTTACATCAAGTCAATAAATGTTTATAGAAGGTAAACGCATGGGAACACATCAGGGATTTCTTTTCCAGTTACTTAGCCTCTCAGCTACTGCATGTTGTTGCTATACTTTAGCCAACAGAAAATGCACTTTCGGACGTGTGCGCAATATTTTTTCGTTTTTTTATTACAAATTATGAGGGAGGGAGGCTGAGACTTGTGTCATTCGCAGTGCTACATGGGAGAGGGTGGGCGCAAGTTCTTTTGGTGTGATTTTCTGCTTTCGATTCTTTGACTGGTGGACCGTTCTTTGCAGAATCATAGTTAATGGGGAAGTCTAAGGGGAGGCCTAGGAAGGCCTAATGGTTAGAAAGTCGGACTTGTAACCCAAAGGTTGCGGGTTCGAGTCTCGTACCGGCAGGGATTGTAGGTGGGGGGAGTGAATGTACAGCGCTCTCTCCCACCTTCTAATTCCAAGTATGGGTCACCATACTTGGCCACATGTCACTTTCACTTCACTTAATGTAGTTTTTCACCAGAAATTCATTGATAAACATGATTATTTTTAAAACTGAAAACGATGCAGATTATCATCAAATAACAACCTCATAGCTCACAGTAGGTTTAGTTATCTTTTAAAGGGGTCATATGATGCGATTTCAAGTTTTCCTTTCTCTTTGGAGTGTTAGAAGCTGATTGTGCATAGATAAGATCCCTAAAGTTGCAAAGACTAAAGTCTCAAAACCAAAGAGATATTCTTTATCAAAGTTAAGACTCTGCCACACCCCCTAAAACGGCTCGTTCTAACACGCCCTTATATATATCTAGGTCACTATGTGGGAATATTTGCATAATGCCGCCCAAATGTGCAAGCAAAGAAAGAAGGTGTGGTTTCAGTAACCGCAGTTAGTGTTGAAGCAGCATGTCAGGGAGACGCTGTGTGTTTCTAGGCGAAAGCAAAAGCACTTTATTTGGCCTTCCGAAAGTAGATGCATTTAGGAATCTTTAAGATTACTTACAACAGAACAGCAATGCATTTTATGGACGACCGTTTCGTGAACCTAGGAGAGGTAATTCTGACTTTGCTATGACAATCTATGAAACCAGCTACTGTTTTGTTATTAGTTTAAGTATTTGCTATTGACTAGAAATATAATACACACTTCACCTTTAATTTCTTTATTTTAAAGGTACATAGAAAAGGCAGACGGACTATCTCCAGGATATGACCATCATCTTAAATATTGCATCAACTGTTTCAGAGTCTCCCTAACAGTTCAGTGACGTAACCATAGCTTCTATGCGCAGTATCGTGTGACAGAATGCAGTTCAACGTTCGCCTCAGTGTCTTCGATCACTAAACGTGTTATTCTTGAAACATTGGAATGCCCTTTAAAACAACGCATGCGAAGATATGAGATTTAAACCAATTCGTTAAACGTTAAATAAAGTGTAAGCTAATTCTTTATTACTGTTAATTTCGCATCTCAGGACAGATTTCAAAGAACACCCTGTTCCAGGAAGTAACATTACTTCAAACGCGCTTGTTATCGTTTCAGTGCAACCACGTTATGGCTATTCGAAAGGAGCGTGAGAATGCCGATTAACACTCTACAACCAGATTAAAACAAATGCCAGGTCTCGTTAGCTCTCAAGATGGTCAGACAACATTAGGATGCAACTCGTTGTCTATTGTTTTGAGCTAGCTCTAGCAACTCTCATATAGCCATACTGCATCTAGCAGACGACAAAAACAAACTCGCGAAGGGCCAAATGATAAATAATCGTATCAAAATAAGAACTTTTGAAACCTATAAGCACAAACCGCCTGGAATCCCGAGGTTCGCTATATAGCACAGCGATCAAGACAGCTAGCCAACTAGCTCGCCGTCATAGATGCATCGCCCCCGGCTTAGGGACTCTTGGGAAGCTGCTGATCGGTTTGCATGCTGCTCTAACCTCATGCTGTACGCGCCAGCCCCGAGCTCCTGGCCGATGCCAGACAAACTGGCATCGAAGTCGTGCACTAGCCCAGACTCGATGGTAGCATCGTCCATCTTCAGCACCCACGCCATGGCGCCCAGATCCTTCTCCTCCGACTCTAACCGGAGCGCCGCCAGCTTCGCCTCGTACAGACAGCACCTGCGCGGAGCTCGCGTTGCCGCAGGAGTCAGCTAGTCCTTCTAGAGCTGGTTAGGTGGCCACCCGCGGAAGGCTAGCTGTTGAAAGCAGGGCAAACTGCTCTAGCCCCGACTGCCGTGTGCCTCGCCATTGCTCGAGTTTCACAGTAACATAGGCGAGAAACAACAGTCTCGGGATGAGCTGAGGCGTCGCGAAGTGCACTCAACCCTCCACGCTACACCTCCTCGTGTATTATCCGTTTCCAGCGCCCGTATGTTAGCCCGTGTACATCAGCAGCACATCATATATGTATGCGATCTTCCATTATATAAAGCAGGGTGGGAGGACGCTGTTGACTGTCACCGCATTCACACGCAATGTCCGCTCGAGTAACTGGGTTGGCAGAGCTCGCTCGCTTGCTGTCATCTAATCCTGCACGCAGTGCGGTATCTTTACGCTCTCTACTGTCCGAAAACGTTCGCCTAATTTCATCGTGTTGACCCGCCCGTTTGATCTTTCGGAAGAGGCCAAAGATCACCACACATGAACGCGGCCCTCTGTCTGTCACCATTCAAACCCTAAACGCGAGAGCGCTGCAGCAGGGATCTGGGTCTGGAATCTGACAGCCAATCACGTTGCTCTGCGAGCCGCGCTCAGCCAATCAGCTTCCGAGGATCTGTCGTCATCGTCAACTGGCTCGCGCTCCGATACACTGTAGTCACTCTCGGCTTCCAAACAGACTATAACCTTTAACTTGCAGCGTATAAATTAAACGACACGTCACCTGGTGGAAGAAATGCAAACTTGTTGAATATGAACGATTGTTTTTATCATAGAATGTTTAACACAATCAACACATTTATATTCAAAACCTCAGATCTGCAGCTGACAACTAAAGTCCAAATGTGACCCTGGACCACAAAACCAGTCATAAGGGTGAATCTGACCCTATGAAAGCTGAATGAATAAGCTTTCCATTGATGTATGGTTTGTTAGAACAGGACAATATTTGGCTGAGATACAACTATTTGAAAATCTGGAATCTGAGGGTGCAAAAAATCAAAATGTTGAGAAAATCACCTTTAAAGTTGCCCAAATGAAGTTTACAGTAGGACATTTACAAAATATCTTCATGGAACATGATCTTTACATAATATCCAAATGATTTTTGGCATAAAAGAAAAATCTGCTCCAGGTTCATATATCCACACTGCTGTGAAATGACAAGAAAATATAGATATACATTAAGACAGATAGCTGTTTTCGCTGACATAAATGAGGACCAGTAGCGTGAGATATTCAGATCCCACCTTGGCTGTTTTTGCTCTGAAATGCCCTTCTGAAAACAGGGATGGCCACTTAAGGACATATCTTGGGTGTTTTTAACCTGTTGTTGTTGTTGTTGTGGTGGTCTGGACAGGAAGGCAGACGGGCCTTTGAGCATCATTAGATTCTCTTAAACAGACCACCAACCTATAAACAAAACAGCCTTGGGTGTTTACAGCTGGGAATGTAGTCGCAGCGCTGTGAGACAGCTGGGAAACACTTGATTCATTTTTTTTCACTGAGGGCACTAGTGTCCTTGAAAAACAATATTGCAGACTTATAGATAAATAATTTTCAGATGCCAGTTATGTAGTAAGTTTCTATTTAGTGAGAGAAACAGGGAAATAGCAGAATAGTGTGTCACCCAGATCTATTTGTAAGGTTTGCAATGGCCAAATGAAGTCAACAAAAGTGCAGAGGATGAATACAATGGCACTTCTCACTGGTTTTGACTTTACTGCACTCTAATTTCTCATTACAGATAAGTGATTTTAACTCATGTGATAAAATACATGAACATGTTTTTCTAGCAGTGGGTTTTGTGTGTTGATTTTAAACACCTAGTTCACCATCATACTTTTACTATGGCTGTTGGGTAATAAGTGAACACAATAAAAGCACACTGGTATACACTCAGACAAGGGTCAACTATATAAGGAGGTACATTTGAACAAAAATCTTGAACTGTGTTCTCAGGAAAAGTGTTTTTCATAAATGTCTGATCAGGCAAGCTGTCAATTTTAAATATTAGTACATCTACATAATTTATTAGTATATTAGTTGGCCATTATATATTTGTTTATTTATTTATTTATTAATTATGCTCTATGAATTTTGCGTCATAATTGTTTTATTGTTTGCATTTTGTGTAGGCTACTCAGAAATTATTTTCATATAACAGCAATATAGCATCATTTATGTAATCGTTATATAATATTTTGAATTGTGTATAATGAATTGAATATAATCTGTAATTTTAACCCATCTGAAGACGCTTCTCAACAGAGTAAACAAACTTGAGACAGATGCGACTAACAGAGAAACTCATCGCATCACTCAGGAGTGGCCACGAGAAAAAGTTATAGTAATACTAACTTATATGTAACTTAATAAACAGTAAAGAATATTTCGTTGTATATATTTGTGCGATTGTATACAGAAACACAAATACACAGTGACACTTATACTTACAGAGAAAACAAACTCAACATGAATTCAGACGGAAATACCAATAAAAGTAATGTCCTTAATTTCCATTAAACACGAGATGTTCAGTAGCGCTCAGTCTTACCGTGTGTTACTGCAGCTGTAGGGCCGTTGACTCTCAAAGCTCCCAGTGTGCAGCTGCCAGAACAGCATTGCATTACTATCTAGGAAACCCGCGATCAATGCTGAAAAACTAGTGACAGACAGCGACCAAAGCAGTCTGGCTGTTGCTCTTGTTTATCAGCAGTGAACTTCATCCACCGAGACAGCGCACGCGATCGCCCCTCCGTGACTCTGCAATATCATTTCACTACATTATCTACATTTTTTGGAAATTATTTCATAATTATATTCAGCAACCGTGCATTACATGGATCAAAAGCGGCAGTAAGGAATTTATAATTTACATAAAATGTATATTTCAAATAAACGCTGTTCTTTTCAACATTCTATTCATCAAAGAATCCAGAAAATTTTTTTCAGTTTCCACAAAAACATTAAGCAGCACAACTGTTTTCATAATTATTAATAATAAAGGTTTCTTAAGCACCAAATCAGAATAGTACAATGATTTCTGAAGGATCATTCGACACTGAAGACTATAGAGATATAATTGTAATATTTCCCAATATTACTGCTTTTACTGTATTTCTGGTCAAATAATGCAGCCTTGGTGAGCATTAGACACATCTTTTAAAGACATGAAAACATATTACGGACCCAAAACTTTTGAACATTAGTGTACATTTTTTATTTCCTTTAAACAGTCCATATAACCAAAAAAGTAGAGCATATTTTGAAAAAAAAATAATAATAATTCTATTAAATGAAAATCAAAGGGGTCAAAAATGTTGTTTGGATCCCATTCAATTTTATTATGGACAAAAATGGTTGAAATACTATTCAAAATATCTTTTTTGTTCCACAGAAGAAATAGTAAAGGTTTGGAATGACATGATGGTGAGTAAATGATGCCAAAAGTCTCAATTTTGGGTCATATAACCTTTTAAATCATAACTCATTTGTAGTACTCATTTTCAAGGTACAGACCCTGGACCACAAAACCAGTCATAAGGGTCAGGTTTTTAAAATTGAGATTTATACATCATCTGAAAGCTGAATAAATACGCTTTCCATTGATGTATGGTTTGCTAGGACAATATTTGGCCGAGATACAAGTATTTGAAAATCTGGAATCTGAGGGTGCAAAAAAATCAAAATATTGAGAAAATCGCCTTTAAAAGGTGTCCAAATGAAGTCTTAGCAATGCATGTTACTAATCAAAAATTAAGTTTTGATATATTTACGGTTGGAAATTTACAAAATATATCTTCATGGAACATGATCTTTACTTAATATCCTAATGATTTTTGGCATAAAAGAAAAATCGATAATTTTGACCGACACAATGTATTGTTGGCTATTGCTACAAATATACCCGTGCTACTTAAGACTGGTTTTGTGCTCCAGGGTCACATTTAGAAAAATAACAAGGAGACATTTAGTTCATTACTGTACATTTTCTTTATTTTAATTTCATTGTTAGCACAGTTCACTTCCTCACGGGAGAGAAAGACCGACACTACAGGAAAGAAGTGACAAGACAGTTGCGGCATTTAGAAGTGTAAATACATTTCTACAAATTTACCATCAGAGAAGAATGACACTATGCTACTTAAAAGAATTCACACACCCTCAGGACATCACAAGATCTTCTTGAATATTCCTTTGTTATGGTATTTATAGATACATATTACCTATGTGGTGTGGGATCACATGTGGCCTCGCTGCGATGAGAATCTCGGGTGTAAGTTAAGCCATGTACGCAACCAGATAAAAAGGTTCAGATTTATTCATGACATGCATAAAGCCAAGCAAAGTATGTCTTATAATAGTGCAAGCTGGACCAACCGCTCACTGTTATGAACTGATATGACCGTTAATAATAATCGATAGTGAGAAATTAGGAACGTTAATGATACATCGCTCAGACCAAGAAGTTTTGAACTTCATCTTAAAAATCTGAGTTTTTCAAAAGCTCTTTGATAAAAAGAAACAATTTCCATGTTGCACAAATTGACACCCACGACACCCCGCTTTCTGCTGGGTTTCCACCTTCCCCGTCTGACACACACACACACACTCGTACACATGATCTTCTCATTAACAAGGCAACAAAACTACATCAGCAGTCCACCAACTGTGCCACAGATAGCGGTTTCTCAGACATGCACACAGAGTGACGGTGATCCTAGTTTGGAGGAAGAGTTTCAGTCCTACGCCGCTCCTCGATGCATATCCCACTGGAAGGTTTTGTGGGGCCGGAGGAGGGTGTCCAGCAGTGTAGGTGCATGCGGCTTTGTGTATCTGTAGGTAAGCGTGTGTAGGTGTTTGTTTGTGTATGCATGTGAGTTAAAAAGCCAGCTAGGGTCCCCCTGCACTAAGAGAGTGCTGTAGTTCTGAATGGTGGCGGCACAGCTACAGTCCCTGCCCTCCTAGATCTGAAGACTGGTCACTTCCGCTGGAGCCGCTCTGAGCTCGCTTTATGTACAAATTCAACAGTTTCAGCTGGGAAAAGAGAGAGAATGTACATGTTATAGATGTTTTGAAATATCAAACCGAGAGATAATGAGAGTAAGGCGGAAAAAGGGAAAGGGGTTGGGTTTTGCAAGAGGAAACGGCTCACCTTGCTGCCAGACAGCTGGCTGAGGTGAGGTTTCAAATCCTCTCCAATGACAGCATAGATGGCCACAAGGCAAAATACACACGCCTTTCGTACACTGCTCTCAGAGTTATCATAACCCTGCAAAGGAGAGCAAAAGATAATCAAAACAAGTAGGGACCATCATAGCCAAGAGCTTATAACCTTAACAAAGATGCTTAATATTAGGGTAAGTCAATGTATTTAGTTTGTTCCTAAATACATCCACTAGGGGGTGTCAAAGGGGGTTAAATCATGTATAAAGTCAACTATCAAAGTTTGATAGCATGTTCTACAGCATCTAGAACAGACAATCTGTGTCCTGACATGCCATTCAACTGAAGTATGTAAAGTCATTAACTGGAACTTTATATGTTAAATACATTTTGCTATATAATTAGGAATGGGAAAAGTTAATAATTGAACATATATTTGAGTTTTCAAAATTTCAGATTTCTTAATGGTCAAGTACACTGATTTTAAAGGGATAGTTTACCCAGAAATGAAAATTCTGTCATCATTTACTCGGTTACATTTACTGTGTTGTCGCCTTGCGTCGGCGGCATCAGGACCAAAAAGCTGTACTTGAACACACCGCACAGACTACAGCCGATTGCAAACTAACACAAGCGTTCTGTGCCTGCGTGAGAGGAATTAACTGTCTATATCAGCATCAGCAGATATCAATAGTATATATTTGTCATTTAAAAGGAGAAACTGAAACAAGGATATAAGAGATATATGCAGATATACGAAACGTAAACAAAGCAGCGCTTGCTTACCATTTTGAATATCAGTTATGTTGATAACTTTCTTCATTTTAAGTGGCTCGTGTTATGAAAATATACACATATTGGAATGCTTGGGAAAGATCACGTAACATTAAACAGTCTTCTGTGTGTATATTGCTCGTTTTAAATCACTTTCGCTTTAATTCTCGAGCACTGACTCGTTAGCTAAACTGAACATCCAATCAGAGTTTCCACTAGCGCCGATGGCCCCGATGCATGTGGAACACACCGAACAAACTAGCCTGACAGATACTCGCCGACAGCCGACCGTCAGCTTGGTGTGTCCCGGGGCTTAAGAATTTTTGTTAACAGACCACAAAATGAATGTTGGCAACCAAATAGTTTTGATGACCACTGACTTCAACTGTATGGACAAAAAACACTAGGGCATTTTATATTCCACAGAGAAAATGCAATAAATGATGACAGACTTTTGGGTGAACTATCCCTTGTAGTCTCAAAGTTGAAAGCTGTTTAAATGACAATAAAAGACCCTTCTAACTGATTAGCTCTATATCACCACAAGGAAACAAGAGTTGGACCACACTAGTTGTGCTGGACCTTTTGATTCAATAAAATGAACCAAAAAAAAATCATATGTTCTGTAATCAGATTACAATGATTATGCTGTCGCACTATAGATTCAATAGTGGCATTGTGGTGCCTCTGAGTATTGCAGGAAACGATGTATTTAATACAGTATATTCCATCCACAGCAGCTTAAGAACACACATGAAAGAACCATTAATCACACATCATTCAATTCCAGTATTTTTTCAAATAACAGTTTATTAGAAACTGTTCTTGCTTCCTTACCCTATTCATACACTAGCATTAAAAAGCTTGAGGTCAGTAAGATTTGTTAATGAAAGTATTGTCTTATGCTCACCAAGGTTGCATTTCTTAATCAAAAATAAAAACAAAACAGTAATATTGTGAAATATTACAATTTCAAATAACTGGTTTCTATTTTATTATATTTTAAAATATAATTTATTCATGTGATGGCAAAGCTGAATTTCAGCATCATTACTCCAATCTTGAGTGTCACGTGACGCTTCAGAATTCATTCTAATATGCTGATTTGCAGTACATGAAACATTTATTATTATTATCAATGTTGAAAACAGTTGTCCTGCTTCATATTTTACCATGATATATACTTTTTTTCAGGATTCTTTGATGAATAGAAAGTTAAAAACAACAGTTTTTATTTGAAATAGAAATCTTTTGTAACATTATAATTGTCTTTAACTTTTGATCAACTAAATGCATCCTTGCTGAATAACAGTATTCACTCCTTCTTCAAAAATAAACCTTACTGACCTCAAACCTAGTCCATATAAAATACAGTATTTACCTGAATGAGCCCAGGGACGATCTCAGGGAGCATTTGAAGGAGACCCTCTTTGGGCAGCCGGTCAATGACTCTGGTGAGCATCTTGATGGCAGCTAGGTTGATGGGGTAATCAGCCGACTGGATGATGGGGCACAACACCTTAATACACTGATCAGGACTTATTGAGGTCGCCAACATAGACGCTGCCTCTTCTGCAGCCCGTACCACCTGATACAGAGACAAAAGGACATTTTGTGTTTAGGTTTAGATTTGCGCTTCGGTCTGAGCTGTCGGTCTAACATGCTTCATGTGACTGTGTGTCAAGGAGCCTGGACCTCTTTGTGTGGGTCTTTATGTGCTTCCAGGGTCTTCATAATGGTGAGTTCCGCATAGTTTTTAAAGCGCCACGGCTGCCGGTTTAAGATCTCCTTCAACACTCGCAGTGCTAATGCCCGAATGACATGCTGAGAGAGAAAAATAAAGATCAGCAAGTAAATAAGATGCATTTGGTTATCCTCATGATTCAGATTAGAGTGCGTTTACAGCAGTGAGTGTATGTTTGCATGCACCTCTCCATCCCCGAGTGTTTCTAGGAGCAGCAGGAGGATGGTTTTGAAGTGCTCGTCCCAAACATGCAGTTGTGTTTCTCTGATCAGCCGCATTAGCTCACACAGCGCGGCTTTCCTCTCTTCCACCCGCTCGCTGTGATTCGAGAGCTCCTTTAGGAGCTCAGCAACCACCTCAGACTGGTCCACGCCACTGTCTGTAACACCACCAGCAGAAAGGAAGTCAGACCCACACATGTGCTTACATGTACACATTTCACAAAGCACCTACAAATAGCTATGGAAGTGCTTTACCATCAGTGAGGGTCTCGGCATCTTGATCTGCATCTTTCAGGCTTTTATTGAAAGAGGAGGAGGTGAAGGAGGAGTCAGAGTAGCTGACTGACTGGAATTCCCTTGTTGGGCGGGGACTCGAGGAGAGGAGTGGCATAGTATTTAGCAGAGAGGTCTTGTTATCCAGCGCCGTCCGACCAGATGCTGTGGGTTGATCACCACCCTGCACAGAGACACATTCATAACACATCCGTGTTATAGCCTTATTACACGGTTCTCTCAAATACTTAGAGGGTTAGTTCACCCCAAAATGAAAATTCTGTCATTAATTACTCTCATGTCGTTTCAAACCCGCAAGACTTTCCTTCATCTTCAGAACACAAATTAAGATATTTTTGATGGAATCTGAGAGCTGTCTGACCCTGCATAGACAGACAGCAATACAACTGAAATGTTCCCAAGTCCAGAAACGTAGGAAGGAGATCTGTAAAATAATCCATGTGACATCAGTGGTTCATCCGCAATTATACAAATCTACAAGGATACTTTTTGTGCGCAAAAGAAAAAACAATAATGACTTTATTCAACAATTCGTCTCTTCCGCATCACCCTGTAGCGCCATTTTGGAGTGTATTAGCTGGACGTAAACAGTGTATGCTGTTCTGTGTCAGCTGCGTCACGCCGGATCTGTTTCCCACGTTGTTGTGATTTGATCTGAACGAAAACAGCGTATCAGTGTGACGCAGCTGACACAGAACAGCATACGTTGTTTACGTCCAGCGGATATTCTCCAAAATACAGGGTGACGCGGAGGAGACGAATTGTTGAATTAAGTCGTTTTTTTTCTTTCTTTTGCGCACAAAATCTATTATTGTAGCTCCGTATAATTGCGGATGAACCCCTGATGTCACATGGATTATTTTACAGATCTCCTTCCTACGTTTCTGGACATGGAAACATTTCCGTTGTATTGCTGTCTATGCAGGGTCAGACAGCTCTCAGATTCCATCAAAATATCTTAAAAGGGGTCATATGATGCGATTTCATCTTCATCTTCATCATTTTTCCTTTCTCTTTGGAGTGTTACAAGCTCTTGGTGCATAAAGAAGGTCTGTAAAGTTGCAAAGACTAAAGTCTCAAATCCAAAGAGATATTCTTTATAAAAGTTCAGAGTCAGCCACACCTACCTAAAACGGCTCGTTCTAACATGCCCCCACATATCTACCTCACTATGTGGGAAGATTTGCATAACGCAGCCCAAATGTTCACGCAAAGAAAGAAGGCGTAACTTTTATTCTCACTGTAGAATTGTTGACGCTGCAGCCGTGTCGTGAAGACGCTGTGTGCTTCGTTGTGAAAGCAAAACAACTTTGTTTGGTCTTCCAAAAGAGGACGATATCCACTTCGTCATGCCTAGAGCTTATCTGTGCTGGTCGCTGAGGGAATACATCAACTTTCACCGTGGACAAAG